GGGGGGGGGGGGGGGGGGGGGGGGGGGGGGGGGGGGGGGGGGGGGGGCAGCAGCAAAGCAGAGTGCTGAGAGGGACGAGGAAACTGTTGCCACCCCCACCGCCCCATTCCGGACCTCTGAACTCGATAGTGAGTGCAGACTTGCCTACTCCGCCCCCTCCCACCACCAGCAGCCAGTACTTTTCCTGCCCTGGGCTGTCCCCCCCCACCCCCATTGAGGAAGAGCCCAGGCCAGGAGAGGCAAACTGGAAGGTGCGGGAGTGCCGCACAAATGCAAGTAGCGTGACACTCCTGCACCTTCGGCCCATCTCTATTGCCGCTTCAGCCCGCCTATGCCGCCAACTCCCTCTTTCTGCAACAGCGCCATTACCTCATCCTACCTGGCGAGGACTGTGCTGCTTTTTGCAGGTTTGTGCTTGGCCGAAGGGTGGGAGCCAGTGGGTGGGCGGGCTTTGGGGGGTGCTTTGGGGGGCACTTCTCTGCACTCCACCAAAATTATCTCGCGGCCCACCAGTTGGCGACCCTTGGTCTAATGTATTTGATGAAACTGGAAAAATTGAGTAATTTTGTCAGTTAATTTTGTTGTCAGTTTATTTTCTATATATCTCAAAAATTAAAAAATAATTGTAACAACCTAACGTGTTTGTTAAGGACCTAATTATCCTTTCAATACATGGAAAATATATATTGTTTTCAAAGATGTTTTCACTCAAATGTTCACTCAAATGTTTGAAAAATTGTACAGGTAAGTCTCCTCTTATGACTAGTTGTATAGTGACCATTCAGCGTTATGATGATCTCCCCTGGGCTACTTATGATCCAGATTCAAGTTAGTTCTCCTGCAGTCATGTGATCCAGTTTAGGTTTTTGGCAACTGCCCCACACGTATGGCTTTTTCAGTGTCCCATAATCGATTTTCGATTTCCAGCAAAAACTACCAATTGTGGACAATGGATTGCCAATGGAGTGCAGTATTCACTTAACCAGCATAGTAATTCACTTAACAACTGCTGCAAAAGTTGTAAAATTAGGCACAGTCAAGTGGGGACCCCCTTAATATTCAAGATCAGCAGTCTTACCCCTGTAATTACAGGCTCAATTACAGTCATAAATCAAGGACTCTCTATTGTGTTCAGTGGAAATGAGAGAGAAATTAGGAGTGCCTATGGTACTTTAGGAACTTAGTAAAAAGTTTTTGTTTACCTGTTTAAGCCTCCATGGTTGAATTTGTCAAAAGTTTTCTAAACATTTGATAACATAAGAGGCAGGTTTGGTCTTCCTAACGAATAAACATTCTGTCACCAGAATAGACTGCCAGATGCTGATCAAATCTAATCTCCAATGCTAATCATTGGTGGAGGGAGTTCCAAAATGTATTTAAATTACATGTTTTCATTTATTAGATTTTTCCATGGAAAAAATTATATTTCATTGTATTGATTAATGTACTATCAGAAAGAAAAACATATTAGGCTCTACACTCTATTTCAGTAAATTGAGCAATTAATAGAAAGTTTATTTTGGTCTGTCTTTCTGACATTTCTATTCAAATGCTATTTACAAAATATTTAAAACTTCACTAATGTCTTACTTCTGTTGATGTATCTTCTGCAACAAAAGCTAGTGAAGATCATGTACATTGTTTAATATAATCAGTGGTTTGTTAGTTCTAACTTCGCTGTTTCAAAGACATAAGATTATATAAGTCCAATTATATTTGCAAAAAAAAGTATGTGTTACTATTTGTACTATTTGCTCCTGGAAATAAAACTAGCAGATTACGTTCAACACTAAGGAAATGGAACAATCTGCTCTTTTGCAATTCTGGTTTCCTTTGTTATCTGTTAATTGGATCAGAGTACAATAAATTACAAGGGAAGCACCAAGTTACTGTAGTGATTAAAATACCAAGGCTGGAATTCAGGAGACTGAGTTCTAGTCTTGCTTAAAACACAAAGGCTACTCTTAGGCCAGTTTCTCTCAGTCCAGAGAAGGAGGCAATAGCAACCTATTTCTGAAATCTTTCCAAGAAAACCACAGGGACTAGACCAGGAGTCACCAAAAGTCAACACTGGACAGAGCAAAATAGGGGAGTTTTTTCTGCAAAGAGAAAGATGAAAGAGTTGCAAATACTTGAAATCTAGGGCCCTGATATTGTGGGTGGGCCCACTTTTTTATTATGTTGACTGTGAGGTTTTATTGTTCTTGGCTGCTGTTTTATGCAGTGTCATATTATTTATATATTGAATTATTGGATGTGCTTTTCTTTTGTTAGCCACACAGAATTATATATAGGAGATGGATAGCCACTGCCCCTTGGTGGCTGTTCAATTATGTTTGATTCTCAGAGACTGGACAAATCCCTGCAGTTTACTTGACTAGATTTTTGAGAATTAGTTTGCAACTGTCTCCTTTCTCAGGCTGAAAGATGGTGACTGACCTAAAGTCACCCACTGACTTTGTGCTCAAGATGGGATTGGAACTCCTGGTTTCTCAGTACCTTGCTTGATGTCTAAACCAGGGGTTGCTAACCTTTTAGACCTCAGAGACCACCAAATTCATAATTTTAAATCCCATGGACCACTAATGTGAATTTTGACTGATGGTGGCTTGCTGACATTGGTGGGAAAGTCGGTCCCATATTCCAGAGCTGCAGTAGTCACAGGACTGGCCCTTTGGTCACCCCGGAGCAGTTGCTCCTCCACCCGGGTGCACCAGCCTGCAATGGACTGGAGGAGTTGTTCTGGTATGACCAAAGGGCCAGTCCTGTGACTACTGCAGTTCTGGAATATGGGACCGACTTTCCCATTAACGTCAGCAAGTCACTCTGGGGCGGATTTCCCTCCCCTACCATTGGTCTTAGCTTCCAGTTCCAGCATGTGTGGTCTACTAAAGGTAAGATTTGTGCTTGGCCGAAGGTTGGGGACCAGTGGGTGGGCGGGCCATGTGGACAGCACAGCCTTGTGTTCCCACGCAGCCTGGATTAATTGCTTTGGGGGGAGTGCTTTGGGGAGGCATTTCTTTGTGGACCACCAAAATTTTCTTGCAGACCACCAGTGGTCCCCAGCCCACCAGTTGGCGAGCACTGGTCTAAACCACTACACCAAACTGGCTGTAATATACATTCACTTTCATTCTATATGAAATTTCTTGAGATCAGTGAGGCCATTAATCTCACTATGGGGCTAAAACTATCAGGAATGGGACAATGGCATTTGAGATGCTATAAACTGTGCATTAGTTTTAAGAGCTTTCCTGGCTTAATGGTGGTGTCCAGAGTTCAGTTTTCAGTGTAGAAATTATGTAAAATCTCATGAAATAAAAGCATGGTATAATATAACAATGGGATATCTCTTTAAAAGGAAGGTAGACAGTGTATATCATTATAAAGATAGACTCTGCTACAAACCATGTGAGGATTTGTCCATAGTAAACATGAAAAGAGATGTATATGATGATTAATGCATATTCAGAACAGCATAGGACATTTGCCTTATGAATTTTTAAATTTATATATTGTTTCGTGACTACAGAGAAATACTGTGTGTGCTTAGCAAACTAGTTTGAATGAGCTCTATCACCAAGACATTTCTCTTTCAATGACAGCCCTACAACTGAAAATTACATGAATTAACTGGAGCTATTATCTGATTATTACATTTCCTCATTCTTCATTCTCAAGTTGCATATTTTATAGTTTGCATATTTTATAAATTTTATAAAAGTATACTTTATAATGCATATAATTATTTTTTTAGGGGGTCTGCTGTGGCTAAAATAATAGGCAACAATGTAAAAACAATGCAGAAGTTTTCTTCTACAGTGAAAATGTGGGTTTTTGAAGAAACTATTAATGGGAGGAAACTTACAGATATCATAAATAACGATCATGAGAATGTGAAATATCTTCCTGGATATAAACTACCAGAAAATGTGGTAAATATTGATACAGATATACGTGGGCATTGGCCAATATAGCTCAAAACACTTTCTTTTGATATCACATGACATGCATTCTGAAAGTAAGAAACTCTTTTGGAAATTTCATGAATGTCTACTACCAAACCAATTATGGGAAAACTGGCTACCTAACCCCTTACTGAATCTCAGTCTTGACTTATTATTTTTACCTCATGTGGATAATTTAGATAGCTTTCCAGAGATCAAAGAAAATAAAGCAGTTTTCATTGACGTGTATATGTGTTAAATTTCAAAATAGTTGCCATCTACCACAAAAAGTCAAACATAAGGTGTCTTCCTTTAAAGGAGTCTTTCCAATAATTTAATTAGAATGCTGTGGTTATAGTTTTAGCATAGCTTTGATTATAATACTTTAAATCTATAATAAATATATTTAAATAAAAGATATAGTAATGTCAAAAAAGAAAAGAAAGGAAAAGAGAAAAGAAAGAGAAAACACAAGAACAGAAAACATGAAAAATATACAAAAGAAATAGCTTCGAATCATCCTCTTGTTAGTTGTAAATACCAGGGGTCTCCAACCTTGGCAATTTTAAGACTTGTGGACTTCAACTCTGGGAGTTGAAATCCGCAAGTCATAAAGTTGCCAAGGTTGGAGACACCTGGTACATACAATTATAATCAAACCTCTCTCTCTAAGATTTTATCATATTTCCTTTCTATCCACAACCTATTGTTTCTAAATCTTTCATCAAAACTATGTCACAAAATTATTTCTTTTAGAAGGCTTTGGTTATAAGTATATTCCAAATTTTATTATTTCTTTGTATTTATAATTTGCTACTATGGTCAATTGGATATGCAGATATTAATATCTTGGCTATTCAATGATTTATTCTGGAAATCTACATTTTTCCAGTTCCATCTGCTGTAATTCAATTTATCAACATATTTTGCAGGGTGTGTGTATTTTTTAAAATTATTTTCAAATAGTTTTCTTTTGACCTTACTATGTGAATTTGCTATTTCTATTAATTAAATGCAATTTAAAATAAATAATAGTGAATTGGATATCTGAACATAATTACACAATTCTTCTTTTTTCTTTTCCAATTACTATTTTTCCAGGTTGCAGTCCCTAATCTGACTGAAGCTGTAAAAGATGCAGACTTGTTGGTTTTTGTCATTCCCCACCAGTTCATTTATAAAATCTGTGATGCAATTACTGGGCATTTAACAAAGCAAGCTGTTGGTATAACTCTAATTAAGGTACAGCCTATAAGATAATGTTTCTTTCTGTGTACAAAATGATACTCTAAATTATTTACTTATGTATTCAATTTTTATAACTGCTCCTAACTGAATCATGGACTACAACTCAACTACATGATTCCGGGTGACTTATTAAATAACAATTAAATAAAGGTGCAGATAAAGAATTCTATACAAATATAATTCCCACAAGGGAATCTTGGTTGTGAAATGTCAGGGATAGCATCAGGAATGCCCTTGGCCATAATGATTCGGACTACGAGCTGAAGTCTCATTCACCCAGCCCACAGAAGTACCAAAAGGCAGCTCTTCCATATTAAGAGTGTAGGAAGGTGGATAGAATATATTCAAGAGCAGCCAAGTGCTGAGCAATAGGATAGATCAATCCAACATATGCTCAGGAAGAGACTGACATTCCTGTAGTTACAGTATATTCCCACTTGTAAATTATTTATTTATTTAAAACATTGCTATAGTCACCCATTTTATATTTATTTATCTCTGGGTAGCTCCCAATCACATCAAACAACATTAAAAAAATCATACTATAATTATAACAATTAAATGCATTAAAAACAACAAAAACCTGGTTCTGTTTTGTGGTCGTTTGTTATTGGAATTGCTGTCCTTGACAGCCAAGCCTTAAATGCTTTGCTGTGAAATGTTCTATATTTTTACTGTACATTTTTTTGGAAACTAACTTTCCTTTTACTCAGATAATGAATGCCCACTTGCCCAATGCACTAGGACTGCTGATATGAACTCTGAGCTCTGAGAAGACAAAACCTGCACCAAATATGCAAACAATACTAGCAGCACTTACGACAATACAAGAAACTATGATGAGAACCCAAGACATGATAACAAGAAATCACAAAGGCTTTAAAAGCGAAATGGGGGAGATGCAAGGAGAAATACGGAAACTAGATGACAAAATAGGAACAATCCAACAGGCAATAGACAAGACAGAGCAAAATAAAAAGGTGGTAGAAACAAAGGTCGAATAGACAGATAAGAAGGTGGACACGATTGAACAGAAACTAATGGAAAAAAAACACAAGAAATTAGAAGAAGCAATTTCCTACCTGGAGATGGGGAAAGCTGATTTTTTTCTTAGATTTGAGAACGTGGTGGAAGAAAGGAAAAGACCTACCTAAAATAATGTCAGATCTACTGGCAGAGGCATTACAAGAGGTCCGAAGAGAAACCAATGAGGTATACCAATATATACCAATTATAGACGCTTCAGACTACCACATAAGATTCAAATTACTGCATAAGATTCTCAAAGAAATTAATAAGGGACAAGATATATAAAATAACAAGAGATGAGCCATTGGTTTTTAATGGTGTAGAGATTGTGACTCAAAAACAAATTCCAAGAAGAATAAGAGAGCATAGAACTATTTCTGGCTTCACAGTTGAACAAACATAACATCCTATTTAGATGGCTCATCCCAGAAGGGATGCTGATATCGTGGCAGGACAAAAAGTTTAAAATAGACAGCATAGACAAGGCAAGGGAATTTTTCGATCTCTACGTAATATTAGAAGAAGATCAAGCCAGTAAAAAAGTTGAGAGTAGGAGCCAGGAAGAACAACAGTCAGAGGAAAGAGAAGTAGAGCAAGAGGAAAGAGAAATAAGCAACATTCCTATTTTCAGAGATATCAAATTAGAGATGCATTAATTCAGATATGGAGTAAAATCAAGAAGAACCATTATGTTAAAATACCATGCTGGCTGTCAACGAAGGAGGCACTAATTTATCCGAATACAATGGATCTGGTGAAAATTAGGAACTACAAAGATCTGTTAGATGAATCATATAAATTTGTATAAGATGTTTTACAGCTGGCATTTGAAATTAGAGAACAAGAGGATAAACAATTTTATAAAATTTGGGACCTTTTCTACCAATGGTTAGATAATAAAATACAATAATAGAATATCTAGAATTTTAGGAAATAATGAATATATAAAGATATATTTCTTTTTTTTGATATCATATCCATAATAACGTTTTTAGGATAGATTTGGTATGATTATATGATTTGTTATAAAATAAATTAAGTAAAAATCTGTTAGATGAACAAGGAAGATTAAAAACTATACAGGAGTTACAACAACAAAATATAGATATAGACTGGTGGCCATATATGCAAGTATAGGCAAGGTATAAAAAGGACAAAGTAGAATACAGATTTTATTTGGACAAGCAACAATTAGATGAAATCCTACAAGGAACAGGAAAAAAAATATCTAAAATATATAATTTCCTTTTAAATTTTAAGATGGAAGAGGAGGTAGTTAAGGAAACAATGATAGCATGGGCGAAAAATGTGGGACACAATATAGATCTGGAACATTGGGAAAGAATGTGGAGGACAAATTATAAATTAACTATGTCTACAGCATATCGAGAAAACATGTACAAAATGTTTTACAGGTGGCACTTACCCCCTGCAAGTTTAGCAAAAATGTTTGCGAATCAAAACCCAGGATGTTGGAAGTGCAAGAAAGAAAGGGATACCTACTTCCATATGTGGCGGACCTGCCCGGAAGTCAAAAAATATTGGAATACAATTTGACTATGTTAGAAGAAATAATAAAATAAAAGATTGAATTTCAACCAGAACTATTTTTATCAGGTATAATAAAAGGGAAATATAGTAAAAAGGATAGATATCTTATGCTGCATATATTAACTGCTGCTAGGATCTCATATGCATAATCTTGGAAACAAGGAAATATACTATCAGAGGGAGCAGTCATAAAGAAAATATTAGACTGTGCAGAAATGGATAGGCTGACTCTAAAACTAAAAGATAAAGAGGAATCTACATACTATACAGTATGGGATGCCTGGTATGCATGGCTTAAGAATAGGAAGAAAAACAATGCTTTGATTAAGAATAGGAAATTATATATATATATTGATTGTAGAATAAATAGAAATATATGATGAAAATATGTGATATAAATTTGGAATAAGAATAAAGAAAAGAAAATGTGACTGTAATATAATAAGATAGTATGTATAAAAATAAGATAACGAAATGTAAATGATGTCTTGACATTGACACAATTGTGTATATAATTTTATTTTATGTTTTTAAAACTTCTGAAAATTTAATAAAGATTACTGGGGGAAAAACAAAGCATTATTGACTGATATTCTTTTAAAAAAATTATTATCAACTGTAATCACTGCCTTCCTATGTTTCTTGCAGGGTATAGATGAAGGCCCTGAGGGACTCAGACTCATCTCTGATGTAATCCGGGAAAAAATTGAAATAGATATCAGTGTGTTGATGGGAGCAAATATTGCCAATGAAGTAGCTGCAGAGAAATTCTGTGAAACCACCATAGGTAAATTTCAAAAAATAACATCATGTTTTTCAATAAATACCTCCATTTCAATTTTCCCCAATCCTCTGTATTTCCTGCTTTTGTTCATATTTGGTCTGTAATGCTATCCATGGATTAGTAATAAGTAAGTGTCATTGAGCCTAGTGATACTGAAATTTATAATATGATATTGCCTGCAATCCTCTGGAACAGGAATAAGTAGCAAACATTTCCTTTGTGAGAAGAGAAAGTATATTCCCACCTGTTATTCTCCTTTAAAAAAAAAGAAATTCCTAAATTTCCAGCTGTGTTTTTAAAAATATCAACAGAGTTGTTGCTCATAACATTTGGGTGGGTTCAGGAATATCTACAGCAACAATTCTTGGCTTCAAAATGACAAATGCAACTGGGTAATCAAAACTCTGCTCCTTATAACTGACCATTGCATGCATTATATACAGAGGTGGGATGCTACCAGTTTGGTCCAGTTCTATAGAACCTGTAGCAGCGAAGAGCAGCTGACACCGAATCAGTTTGGTGTTTGGCCTACCTGCCTGCCCGGGCTCTAGGTTGTCATTTATTACGTGCTTTTCCCTCCTCAGCTGCTTTGTGCAGCCCAGCTGAGGTTGAAAAAGCAGGAAACAAAAGGATTTTCAAATGCTGTACACCCACACACTGCGCTTGTCAGCTGTCCAGGCGGCATAGCTGATGATTTCTTGCAAACGCTGCACACACAATTGTCCCCAGTTCGGAGAACCAGCAAATCACTCCACTGGCTGGCCCCACCCCTCCCCGCCCACTCACTCCTTACCTGGCATGCGAGCCAGCCAACTTGCCTGGTTTGTAAGTTGCTATTTTTCCTTTTTTCCCCCCTGGCCATTAGCTGTTCTGCTCTGCCAGGAGATTTAGATTAGCTAGAAAGCAGGAAATCCTAAAAGCAGAGCCGAATCTTCCTTAGGACTGAAGTGCAGACTCAAGTAGCCGATTGCAGATAGATAGATCTCTAAGTTAAACTGTGATTCTGTGAGCAATTCAATCTGCCTGCCTCCTTTGTCTGCTTTTGGATAAAAGTTCTTTTTTATAAAAAAAATCAATATTTACATACATGGTGTGTTGTGAGTTACAATATTTACATTCAAGCCATGCCCACCCAGTCACAACTACCAAGCCACACCCATAAATTAGGCCACACCCACAGAACCTGTTGTTAAGAAATTTGAATCTCACCCAATTATATATGTATAAAAAGAATCAAAGTTTTGATTGCCAAATCATGCCTCCCATTCTAAAGCCATAACTACTGCTGCATATGCCTCTGCCACTGCTCTGCACTGCCATTGCAATAACCTTTTGCTCTCAATAAAGTTTCATTTTGTTTTTCATTTCAGTAACATTGTAAAGCCAGGGAAATGATTGAAGCCTTGTCGGTTAACAGGAGTGCTGATTTACTACCAGCTTATCAAGTACTTAGGAGCCAAAAACACATATTCCAGTAGAGAGAAGTTCCCTGAAGATGGGCATGAGTTCAAAAGCATGGCAGAATAAATCTCTGGTCCCTGTGACCGATCCAGATTTGATCTTAAAGCAGATTTCTTCAAACAGAAGCCCTCCAAGTATAGCCCTTGGGACTATAATTCTAGAATATTTAACCAGGATTGAAATCTTGGAAGTTATTGGGCCAAGGCATCCAGAGAATTACAGATTGAATTATATAGGGAATAGTGTAATCCAAGATAGGGCCACTTAAAAAGAAATTCTATGGAGGTTCAATGAGTCTAACTATCATACAAGCATAGCAATATGATACAATAGCTTGACTTACAGTATATCAAGGCCCTCCAAATTCTCCATGTGTTTTTGTCTTATAGTTGAGAAATCAGGCCTTATGTATTGCCATTGTATCTCAAATACACCTGTTTTGTCAGTATTATGTTTCTTTGATAAATCAGGATGCTAGAGGTATGAAATATGTATTATATTGGCTGATCCGGTATTAGCCAAAGGATAAAATGGTTTCTTTATATTTTATTCACTATAATACACAAATATAAAAAGAGGCCTTTAATAGTAAGAATGAATCAGATGCAACCAGAATCAGATGCAACCAGAAATCAGAATCCGAAATCAGAATCAGATGCAACCAGAAATAAAATATGACCAGACAGCATAGAATTGAACATATATACAAGAATCATCAGGTACTAACCTTATAGATTTTCCCCAAATGTGCTTTTCCAAAAGGCAACTGGCCTTTTTGGTTTTTTTCCTTGAAAACATTTCGTTTCTCATCCAAAAACTTATTCAGTTCTGACTCTTCTGAACCTTCTTGGATAAAAAGTGAAATGTTTTCAAGGGAAAATGCAAGGAAGTCCAGTCCACTTGCATTTTAGAAAAGCACCTTTAGAACAACCATGACCTGGATGATTGAGACCTCTAGAGATTTCTTGGTTCATTTTTCATCTCTTACTGGAATCCTATCTCAGCTATTCTGATATGAATTGACAGTTGTTCCGGAATCAGGAAGGATTTGGAGATACACTGTGCTGAAGATTCAATAGATTCATTTTTAATTGTGTTGTGTAAAAGGTTTTTTTTTTTTGTTTCCTGCTTGGAAATGCTGAGATGGTAACTAAATGACGTTAGCAATTTTCACCTTTTCCTCTCCCTACTTCCCAACAAAAACAGGGTGTAAAATATTGGAAAATGGCCTCCTTTTCAAAGAACTTCTACAGACTCCAAACTTCCGAATAACTGTTGTGGATGATGCTGATACAGTTGAGATTTGTGGTGCTCTTAAGGTACTTTTTTTGGTGAAGATGGCATTAAAAAACTAAACTGCCTCCCACTTACTCATACGACAAAATCAGGGGTGTCAAACTCGCGTCATCATGGCAGTGTCACATGACGTATCGGGATGTTTTTCCCCTTCACTAAACTGGGCAAGGACAGGACCAGCACGTGAGGCATCTGGCCTCCAGGCTGCGAGTTTGACACCCCTGGACTAGAGAAATGCTTGGTGGGGAATTTGTTACCAGAACTGATTTCAGTGTCTGCAATCTTCAATAACATGTTGATGCCAAAACTATCTTATTTGATTAATGCAAAATTTCTCTCAACACTCAGGAACATCTTCCTCTCATTTCAAAAACTCTTTGAAACAGAAGTTTTAGATTTTTATTGTTGGTTAGTTTAATGGTAGGCAACAAGAACTAGGACAGCTTTTTCCTGCCCTATTATATTATATCTCTTGGATAAAGTTGGAATGGGACTGAGTTCATGCAAGATTCACATAGAATTAAAATAGGTAGCCAAGATTTGTAACCAGGGGTGGGTTGCTACCGGTTCACCCCGGTTCAGGTGAACCCATAGCTAATTTAATGGCCTGTTAAATCTCACCCCTGGCTGGCCCCGGCCACCCCTCTCAGGAGTCCCATGCAGCCTATTTTGGATGCCAAGTAAATGCAGGGCACATGCGGAGGCTTGGGGAGGACGAAAAATGGGCCTCCCAAAAGTTCCGGAAGGCCAGAAATGGGCCCATTTCCAACCTCCAGAGCCCGGGGAGGACAAAAACATCCTCCCCATAGTACAGGAGGCCGACTAGGCCATGCCCACCTTGGCCATGCCCGGCCAGCAACTGGGCAGAGAACCAGTTGGTAAAATTTTTGAAATACACCCCTATTTGTAACCATGGTAAATTAAGATTTTTATATCCTGGTTTATAATCCTAAGTGACACTGAAGAATTTCTCACATTGCAACACATCTTTTCATATCTGAATGGGTTTTCAGACAAGATACAAGGCACTGGAAATGATAATTCTTAGAATTTCAGCCAACATGGCCACTGGGATATAATTCACTACATAAAGGTGATAGATGACTAGTTCGTATCGTATTTAAAAGCATTTCCATCACAGCAAAGAGTGCTGATAAAATGTAAAATTACTTCTGGAAATTGGTAATTGTTTAAGACTCTTCACTATTAACATACATATCAAACTTACTTTCAGAAATCAGAATTTCCTTTCTTCAAGATAATTTAGTTGCTTTATCACCAGATAATACTGGTGATTTATACATAAGGCCATATATAACCAGTTTGATTTTAAAATGTGTCTGTCCAGAAAAAAACAAAAGAAGCTAGGGTGGGCATCCTATTGGTTAAAGAGGATTATATGAACAAACGTTCCTTCAGCGGAGTGGCTTTGCCCAGCAGACTATTAACAAAAGATATCAATGGTATTTATATCATTTTGCGCTTGTAACATGTTTTCAAAATTCCAAATTTGCTTGCTGGCATCCAATCAGCTTTCATGACTTTCTGACAGTCAATGGGGAAGCCACATTCTCTTAACAACTGTGCTACTAACTTAACAACTGCAACGATACATTTAACAATTATGGCAAAAAAGGTCATAAAATGGGGCAAAATTCACTTAACAAATGTCTCACTTAGATACAGAAATTTTAGGTTCAATTGTGATTGTAAGTCAAGGATTCTATGTGTATAACTGTAAGTTCAATGAGTTCTTTCATTATCCTGTGGTCTCTTTGCCTTTCCATGTCATTTATTTAGAACATAGTGGCAGTGGGAGCTGGCTTCTGTGACGGTCTTCGCTGTGGAGATAATACCAAAGCAGCTGTCATTAGACTTGGATTAATGGAAATGATAGCTTTTGCCAAAATCTTCTGCAAGGGGCAGGTCTCAATTGCGACTTTCCTGGAGAGCTGTGGAGTTGCAGATTTAATCACAACTTGTTATGGTGGCCGAAATCGGAGAGTGGCTGAAGCATTTGTTAAAACAGGAAAGGTATATTACTTGTGGTGTCAGGGATACTTTCAACCGAGGAAGCTAACATATTTGGAATGATTCTTTTGTGACTGTATTAAAGGGTAATAAGGTACGTTTTTGCACTTATAACTTATTTGTAGAAACATAAACTCAATAACTGCAAACTTACTTTTTTAAATTTCTAAACAGTACTGAAATTACAGAGTGGCCAAAAGGGGCCACTTTCCTTTGATTTTATGATGAATTTCTTAGTAAATATTATAGAGGATTCTTAAATTGCATTAAAACAAAAATAAGAAAAAAACAAATCCCACCCAAAGGTTAGTGACCATCCTGAATCAGGACTTCTAAAAGTGCCTCAAGCAATAACCACTTTATTAAGAGTCATAGTAGAGTTAAGCAAAGTCATAACCACAATGCCAGTGTATTCACAAACTGTGATAATAGCAGATTAGCTGCTAATTGTAATAAGAGTAGGACTTACTAATTGTTTGCTTTGGTAGATTGGTAAAGAGCTAATCAACTAGGAAGTAGGATTTCTATCTGAAACTGTTAGCAAGCAGGTGATATGGGGAGTACTAGTCATCTTACCTTATCTATATCAATAAAACTTAGACATAGTGTTTTTTTTTAACATTTAGAGTATTGAAAAACTGGAGCAAGAGATGCTGAATGGGCAGAAGCTTCAAGGACCACAGACTTCTGCAGAAGTGTATCACATTCTTCAGCAGAAAGGTTTGGTGGAAAAGTAAGAAATTGATTTCTTCCCCCTATTTTTAACCCCAAATACCTACTAAATCTGCTCCAAAAACTTGTATTTTATATTAGGATTGTATTAGGAAGTAAGGACTCTCTTCTACTCAAGAGAATCTGCTAGGACTGAGGTACTAATATTACTGAGTTATATATTTAAATGAACTCCCAATAATAATATTAAAATACAAATTATCTTATTCTGCTTGTTTGACAGAAATTCCAACCATAATTTTATCTGTAGTCCTTTTCAAATTGTGTACATGCACGCTTGTGTACATGTTGTGTACATGTTTGCACACAAATTGTGTACAGGTTTGCATGCTTCATTACTTGAAAATTTATCCTAACTTCCTGCAGTAGTTTTCCTGTAGTTTACTTTCTCTAATCATAAGCAATATACCAATTTGTTTAACTTGCAGTTTCTTTTAGGATTTTCCTCTATATGTTCTCCCTTTGCTTCTCTGTTTTATTGTAAAAGCTACTATTAGAAAATAAAAAAAAAATAAACAGAAAAACAAGACCTATAGTTCACAAAGAGGTTCACAGACTCCTACAGAATTTGATTTTCAGTTCTTGTGACTTGCGAAGTTCTTATGATTTGAAAACAGAACATTTTTGGCTTTCCCATAAATTAGGGATGGGGAATTATGGCCCTTTTATGACTTGTGGATTCCTGAACCAGCATTCTGGGAATTGACGTCCACAAGTCATAAAAGGGCTATAGTACTCCATTTCTGAAAAAAGATAAATTAGTCTTGAAATTTTTGAAATCTGGTTCCCATTTTTAACATATCCATAACAGGGACAAATAGGATAAATATACATATGTTGTTCTTTTTCTTAGCATTTGTCTTGCATGGTTGCAGGGCTCTCTTGTTTTTGCACTGTACTCGAACTTAACTAGTTCTTACAAGAAAAGCTATCAGGGCATGATGTTAATAGAGCAGAAGCCTATTTGGGCTGAGAAAGAGTGACTTGTCCAAAGTCATTCAGCTGGCTTCCATGCTGAAGGGAGGATGAGAATCTGGGTCTCCCCATTCCCAACATGTTGGTACTCAATGAATACATTGTAAAATGATCGGGTAACTTTTGCCTGCAGAATGTAGTGAAGGAAAAAGAAGATACGCCTCTCCTCTAAAATTTTTTTTTTTTTTTTTATGGACAGTACTTTAATTTAGGGATTAGTCCATATTTGCTGGAACAGAAAAAGGAGATACAAACCAAATAAGTAAATGGTACCTCAGATTTATTTTGGTCACCAGAGCATTAAAAAAAGTTAAACACCAATAGTTTCATAGTTTCATCTCCTGGTAAGATTATTGCTTGTCTTATTTTTTAGGTTTCCACTATTTACTGCTGTTTATAAAATCTGCTATGAAGGAAAGCCTGTCCAAGAAATGATCTCCTGCCTCCAGAGCCATCCACAGCATATATAAACACTTTACCATTGTCACAGTTCCTGCCTTTTCATATTCATTCATTAGTTCAGATTACTGTCATTGGCTTGCCTACTCCATGAAGAAGTCTATGGGTTTTTCTACATTGTGTATTATACAGCTCCTAGAATACTAGCTGTTATTTTTAGTGGCTAAGATTTAGTTGGCTTTCAAATATACTGTGTAGAACTTGCATTCAAACTTCCTAATCCCCTTGCCCTATTTGAAATGCCTGATGTTCTTTTAAACATAATTCTAATGCTTCCTTTTCAAGCAGGGATTTGTCTAAACTTTCCAGTGATTAAAGGGGAAGATGCAATTAGAGCAGAAGTAAAGTACTACAGTACTCCAAAAATTTATTGGATTAAAGATCCCATCAATGCCAGATGCATTAATAGCAATAAGGAGAGCTTTAATTGTTAATTTCTGGATACCTATTCATTGAGCATATCGTATCAATATCACCTAGAAGTTGTTTGCTAAAGTATAGTAAGCTTTGACAACATGCATTTGGATTTTTTCAGTCAGATTTGCACATTTTGTATGGCATAGATTGTCATTTAATGAGAATTACTTTGGTATCATTTGATTAGTGGGAATTGGCATTAAGATTTTTAAAACTTAGATTTTAAAAATAATTTATTCTTAAAACTAATTTAAAGAAATGATATTTTTCAAATGTGTTTTTAAAGTAATTGTAGCCTCTCTTTTAAATATATATATATATTGGCTTCCAATCCAGTAAGTGTATGGAAGTGCAGTTCCTAAGGACTCCCGCTCTATCAGGATATGATGGGAATTCTTGTCCTAAGTGATAAGATTGCTGTTTAAGGTAAAAATTTGCCCTCCAATATTTATCCTAATTCAGTTTTCTCCATTTTCTAAGATAAAAGGTTTAGGTAAACAAATCAAAGCTTTTTTGATCTAGCTGTAATGCTTAGCATCACATATTTTTAAACAATGCATAATCCTGTGGATTTGTACAAACAGCTTCAAAGCTGCTATTATCCTAGCTGAATAATATTAAGGTGATGATATAGGCATATATATGAAAATGGGGCACAGCTGTGTGAAAGTTTTTACATGTTACAAGATTACAACCCATTATCACTCAGGTTGGCTCACTGCCCAGAAGTTCTTTCAGGTGGCATTTAATAAATAATTTACTGTCATGCTCTGATGTGTCAAAACTGTGAAGGTCGATTGTGGTTGATGTTGTTTCCTCAGCATATTCTTTGTCCATTTGTGGGGTTAAATTAGAAAGAGCCAAAATGAGTTATTTTGTCCAGCAAGGTTCTAATATGGGAATGTACGGCTTTTTCACTGAACTAACAGCAGCATGTGTGCTTTGTGTTTACACTATCCAGCAGGCCAGTGCTTGAAACACAGTATTGACATACACCAGCCTTTAACCAACCTGGAGAGTGACAGACTAGTAAAAAATTGAAAAGCGTGGTCTTCATACATTTGAATTCTACCCACTTGGGAAGGCTACTGCAGATAACTTAAGGGGATTTGTTCTGATTATATCCAAAGTGAGAACTTGCGGTTCTCATTATTATGCAAATGCCCATTACTACAAAACATTACTATTTCAGCTGTTTTTATTTTGGTGCCTTTTTGCCTTTTTGATTCTGTTTCAATTGTTGAGTTAGATATGACTGTTTAGAATGGGAATGTTTTTGAAAAAAATGACAATCATGTTGGTTAAGTAAGTAAGAGTCTGATTAACAAACTATGTAAAGCTATCCTCTCAATTGCCTTCACGTCTGTGGAATTAACAGCATCTGTCACTTGTGACCAATGTAGTAGTCCAGTACTTCTGTACGGCATTTGATTGGGGAAAGTTGATCTAATATATATGAAATTAATTGTAAGTCTTGATTATTATAAGCTAAAATTAATACCTTGTCTTAGAATAACAGAATTTATCTTCCCATGACAGCCATTGAAGTATTAGAAGATTGCTATCATGTCTTTGCTAAGCTTTATCTTCATTAGGCTAAACATATCTAGTTCTCTTAGCCATTCATCACAATTTAGTTTTCAAACCCTTTATCATCTTTGTTGCTTTTCTCTACACTCTTTCTAACTCTTCTTCAAAAAGCAGAGTGGCAGTGGTTCTCCTCCCATTTACCCTTGTAACAGCCTTATGAGGTAGGTAGCCTGAGGACAATGACCATCTGAAGATTATATTCAGTATATTTATAGGCTGATTGGCAGGATTTGAATCGAACTCCACTCATTGCTCAAAACGTTCACTGTAAATACTAAATTGGACTACATTTATTTTACGTATACTCCCTGGCCTTAGAGCATTAATGTAGGTTGGTTTATTCTCCTGTCGAGCTTATTTATTTCTCTAGTCACTTTTATTATGAATTGTCTGTTTTAAGTGGCCTGAATAAGATTATTGCATGATTTTTGAGATAGAAGAGGCTGACTCAAGCACAATCATTTCACAGTTGGGATCATATTGCCAATTAGGAAATCAATTTTTTTTTAAAAAAACTATACTATTGTTTTCTTCTGTTAGAAAATTATTTTGAGATACAAGCGTGAGTTTTCCATGGGTGGCAGTCACAATTGACTTTAAATGCCAAGCATTATTCTTGCCTCTTTTTCCTCATCAAAATATTTTCTATTCATAAAGTAGAGTCTAGAATGGTAATTTGGTATAAGATTGGAGAACCCATGACCCTGCAAATGTTGCAAGATCTGGCTTCCCATTAGCTCCAGTCAGGTAGTCAGTGATCAGGAGATGTGGGAGCTGTAGTCCAGCAATGTCTGAAGGGACACCAAATTCCCACTCTTAATGTGAAAAGAAAATAGCTCCTCCTTGAAACACTCCAAATAATGCTCAGAACTTGACCCAAATCTTTCTCAACTTGGATGCTTCCACATGTGTTGAAACTAGATGCAATCCGAACACATCTGGAAAGCTGTCGATTGGGTGTAGCTGCTCTACCCCAATGAAACCTGATACATTTTGCTTTGAGCAGTTAAAGCAATTTTTCTGTTGTTGACATTCATAACTTAGAATGACTTGAATACAGCATGGTAATGAAAAAAATGTGTATACATTCTGAAAGAAACAATTGAGAAAAGGCTAATAAAATAGAAAACACATATTTCTCTTTATAGTATTAAAACCTGCTAGACCTAATATGAAGTGACTTTTTCTTTTAATTCTAACATTCAATATATATAGCCATTTTGTATATGTGTTTGTAATATGTAAAAGGCTCTGTAAACAATGTAATGATTTATGCATATTGTCAAATTGTTTAAAACTATTTACTCCTATTTTACTCCCTCACTTATTTTTTAAAAGCAGATGTACGGGTTAGTAAAAGATTTATCTATGTCACCCACTTGTTTTCTGTGTTTCTTACTTGTACATTTAGTACTTAGGATTTGTTACTCTCTCAATTGTATTTGCTACATTAATTTCTTCAGAAAGGGAACTGGAAAACAAAAGGTTGAAGTTGCTAATGTCCTAATGCCTGCTTGATTAATATAACATAGACACAAACAGAAATGCAGATAACATAGGAGTTGATCTAATAGTATTTTATAGTAGTATTTTTATTTGGTATGTACATATTTAAGTAAAAAACATATTTCCCCACAACAACTTGTATCAATACAACTTTTATTAATGCCAGATAAAATGTGAAAAAGTAGAATAAGTTGAAGAAAGGATATAAGGATATCTGCACATTTGTGATCAAATGTAGCACATCAAAGTATATCTCCATGGCTATAACACAAAGTACACTTACCTTTTTTAGTGGTTCTTATTTCTGAATAAACATATAATGTAGCTTTAAGTATAGCAAAGGGATATATTCCAGTTAATAAGACTTTACTTACCTTTTATCATGAGAAGGTATAGTAACAGCTTTAAATGCAATGGCTTCTAGCTAAAATAGAAAAATAATTGAATCTACACATTTGCAATTATTTTCAATTCAATTCATTTTCAATTTATTTTGAGTTTTACAGGTAGTCCTTTTACAGCACAGTTGAGCCCAATGTCTGTTGCTAGGCAAGGCATAATTGAAGTGAATTTTGCCCATTTTATTATTTTCTGCCACAGTTAAGTGAATCACTGAAGCTGTTAAGTGAATCATTAAGCAAATCTGGCTTCCTCCATTGACTTTGCTTGTCAGAAACCAGCTGGAAAGGTTACAAATGATGATCACATGACCCTATATGCCGGTTGCCAAGTCCCTGAATTTTAATCACGTGACCATGAGGATGTGCACTTAACTGTTGTTAAGTGTGAAAAACGATCATAAGTCTCTTTTTTCAGTGCTGTTGAATGGTCACTAAAAATGGTTGTTAGTCAAGGACTACCTGTATATCAGTTTTAAAATTGCATGTCTGCTTTTAGTGCCTTTGAGACTCCTAGAGATACCTGATACTATTTATTTGCTATTAAACAACCAAGCTTCGTGTCATTTTGTTACATAGTGTGACCATCAGAGCCCATTGCTGGACAAATTGCCGTTTTCCATACTGGAATGGTGATGATAGCATTTTTCTTCCATTCTGTGTTCCATTCTAGATTACCTATTAAGCTGTTGTTCTAGAACAAACATACTTTTAACCCACTGTGAGATCTAGGTAAAATAGGCTTCCCCAATCTTATGTTTTAGAATTACAAGGGTCATAATTCAATTCATTTGGTGGGTATCTGATGCAGAGAACTCATATAACATTTAAAATAAATTGAAATCAGATTGTTTTCCTAGTCACAAAACTCTGTGATAATGGCAAAAATTATAATGCCAAGAGAATTTTGGTAGTCTATGCTTTTTAAAAGATATTTTTTTTTTTGCAAAAATATTTATGTGTGCCAAATTCTTACTGCAAGTATGAAACAATGGAGTATTAGAACTTCAAAATCTAATATTCTAATTGGACCCCAGTAAAAAAAAGGACATATGATTCATTTCATTTATGCTCTGCGTAGCTCAAAGCAGACATTTTACTTTGTTCTACCCTCAAAACTATCCTGCAAGTACAAGTCAATTTAAGAATTAAGAATAAACAACCAACAGCTGCCAAACACAAGCCCTATGATTATAGTGCTTATCAAAAGCATATAGAAAAATACAAGTTAACGTCATGAGATAAGACAGGTTGAACCATGGCCCATATGCTTTTTTTAGCTGTAGCTACTTGAATTAGGCATGAACCAGATCATATCAGCACTAGTAACACCTAATTTTCCAGGACAGCCCTAGAAAATAACCTTAACTATTCAGAATTAGTTAATATATACTAGGTTCCAAGTAATTCAGGATGTTGTAGAAATCCCTAGTAATCTAGAATTACGCTGTATTGATCAGAAAGATATGGTTATCTATATTTACTGTATCTACAGAAAGTCCTCAATTTACAACCATTCATTTAGTGATCATTCAAAGTTACGGCACTGAAAAAAATGACTTATAACTGTTTATCACACAATTGTTGTAACATCCCCATGGTCACACGACCAAACTTTGAGCACTTGGCAACTGCATTGTCCCAGGATCATGTGATCACCATTTGTAACCTTCCCAGCTGACTTCCAACAAAGCAAAATCAATATGGAAAGCCAGTTTTGTT